GAATGTTTGTACTCCAGTGATGGGTGTTTATATTTATAATATGTATGTATTTAAAGTTAATTATATGTGTAGTGTATCAACTATCTGGTATCAATAACACAAGTCTCGTAGCTTACCATGGAACTAGATGGCGCTGTGTGTTTATGTCCCAACATATTTATTTATTTATCCGTCACATTTTCACGTTAGAAGGAATATATCTAACTTGCACTGTTGGTTAGAGGTCTTTAGGTTCTTGTGGTGACACAGATAGAGACATGCTTAATCCTTCACTCTCCGCCTATATTCAGTTAATTCTCAGTAACACTGAGCCTTATTCTTAACCACAGAACTAACAATAATCCACAGGACTATTTAAATATTCGCTTCGGCAGGGAACAGAACCCAGTATCTCCGATGAATTGCTAGTGATAGCCTAATCTGACTGAATACATACCATATCTCGCCCTGATCTTCCATATACTTGAATGAGTCCAGAAATATCGCAAGGATCTCTATTGATACAACGAATCAGAGAGTAGCGTCGCGGTGTCCCGCGGCGCTGCTCGCTAATGACATGTTTAGACGACAAACTGCAGTGTTGATAGCTGAATGGATATGGGAATTATAATTTGCTTTTCATTTTTTTTTAATTAAATAGTAACCGAACAACTGTCGCATTTAAATTTAAACTGTAACTTTAGAGTTACACATTACATATTTTGTAACATAAAAAGTAATTTTTTAAAGGTTTTGAATTGGTAATATTATTATAATAATACTAGTATTGCCTGCGGCTCCACCGATCAGATGATCAAAATCCAAATTCTTAGGTTTTACATATAAGTATACTCTTACATTTTTTGTTTGCAGTTTTTGTATTATTTTTTTCAAAAATGAGACATTTTCCCGCGGTAAAAAGTATCCTATATATTGACCTGGATAACCAGCTATCATCACACTAAATTTCATCAAAATCCCTCCAGCGGTTTTTCTGTGTTAAATACATAAGTACCATATCTCGCCCTGATCTTCCATATACTTGAATGAGTCCAGAAATATCGCAAGGATCTCGGTTGGATCGGATTGATACATGTGGTAACAGACAGACAAAAATTCTAAAAAGTATAGATTCGGATTGTGTACCGATAATAATTTATATATTTTTATTTATTTATTTTAGGGAAACAAACAGTACGATATTACATAAATAATTAGTAATAATAAATAACACATAAACCAATGAAGTTTCCACAAATTAAACAATACAAATATGAAGCAGACTACAATGAAAATGAGAAAAAAAAGCTAAACACTAAACTAAAAAATGACAAAATGAAACACTAGTTAACATGAATAATAAAAAAATATAAAAAAAAATAATGTCTATTTCAATAAGATTTTCCAAAAAATATTAAATGCACAGATTCGGCTTAGCTACAATTTTATAGATTAGTATAATAATATTGTTTTCCTAATAAGTAAAAAAAAATCTAGTCGAATTTAAAGTATTTTCAATTTTGACAGTCATTTCTTTTGAACAATTATATGAATAAATTGTTAAAATCTTACGAATTATAATAATATTTTCATAGATCGATTTTCTAATACATAATTACATACCAGTATCGTCTGTAAAATTGTTATTAGGTTTTTTAGTCAAGAAATCGCTTAGTAGATTTTTTCTATTTTTCATTACATAGAGATAAAACAAGCATAATATAAATAATCAATTTGTATTTTTTGAAGTCGGTTAAAGCAATACGTTATTTCATTACGCGACAAAGAGATGCTATCTAAACAATGCCATCGCCTCGATAAGTCGATACATTGTTTGTTGAGTGAACGAATAAAGGGGTGCTTCACTCGATTTTGTGGCGATTTAAATAATGAGATAGATGTTTCGTGTGGTTCTAACAAAACTAGATAGTTTTGTTCACATTCATAGAAATACGTTACCAATTATATAATTATGAAGTATGAATCAAATTATGTAGAGTTCCCCAGCATGAGATATATAAAACTAGCAACTCATCCTTGCTTCGCTTGTGTTCTTTCCTAGTGTAAAGCAAAAACAAATCTATCCCACAGGAACCGTACATTTTTCTAAGATAAAAAGTAACCTATAAGTTATTCCAGACTATAATCTATCTCTGTACCAAATTTTATTCAGATCCGATCAGTCGTTCTAGCGTAACTGAGTAACAAACATCCATCCATCCAAAATTTCCTATTTATTATAATATTAATGGGATGGGACGAATTAAATTATATAGAGTTCCCCAAGATGAGATATATACAATTATTATTATTATGATGCTAAATGTAGCTTTACTCTGTACAGTATAGAGTCACAATAAGATTTTATTATATACTTTTTCATCGTTAAGTGATGTAAAATGACAAAAATTGCTTCGTCGAATCACTGGCGTTTTTTAATAATTGTTTTACGCTCTAACAAATGAGTTTGAAATTGGATCGGGCTCCGAGCGCTTACAAAAATGGATGCTTAATGCAATTAGAGAGACGGGGACGGAGATAGAGCGGGAGAGACCCGAGTTTTATTGTGACGTTATTAAGATATTCGCTTTGTTATGTCTGCATCTGGGCCGCAACACGCCAAGTCATACACACTTAATACTTTCTTAGATTTACGCGAATACTTGACATTTTAAATAAAACTATTTTTTCGGATATTTTCGCGAATTATATTGATTTTTGGTTCCCGACGTTTCGAATGCTTTACAGAAATCATGGTCACGGGAGAGACTGATGTGATCTCTCCCGTGACCATGATTGCTGTAAAGCATTCATACACACTTGATTGTTTCTTCTTAGGTTTGCAATACTTATAAAGTAGCAGTGTAACGTACTAGACTAGAAGTACCATTCATTAAAGGATAAAATAAGCTTTGTCACTCTCTGTTCCATAAACTATTGTTATATTGAGAAGAAATATAAGAAAAAGAAGAAATGGGAGAAGGATAGATCAGCAAACATAAATTCCGATGGAAATATCAGTAAAGTGTTATTTTTCCTTTTACCTATTAAATAATTCTAATTTTAACAGCTCGCGTAAACCATTTGTGAGAATAAATATAAATGAATGTGCAGATTCTTCTTAAAAATAAAATTTTAGTAGGTATATCAGTAGACAAGTTATATCAGCTACATCGTACACGTAATGCTCAAAATATCAGGGCGTTTTAACAATGTTATCGCTTATAGCGATTCTAGTGGACTGCATTATGAGTATTTTATAACAATATATATTACGAACTGCCTCGGTGGTGTAGTGGCTAGCATGTACGGCTGCACACTCGGAGGTCCTGGGTTCAAGTTCCGGGTCGGGCCAAGTTTAGTTATTGAGTCTTTCTGTATAGTAAGTCTCAGTAACAGGCTAGTCTCAATAAGATTGGCCGTCATAGCCAGAATCGGCTAGGAGAACATCATCGGTATTTTATACCTATATTGATGTAAACAACACCTGAGCGTAGTCAGGGCATGTCACTAGTGCATTGTAGTGTTATTTACAAATGAACTTAAATGGCATCTCATTTAAAAATCATTAAGAAGATCTTATAATCTTGCGAAGGCTATTAAGACGGCAAGCGGGCGCTCGTCTTTCAATATAAAACAATAAACACGATTACACAGCGTCCAGCGACTATCTCTTTCTAAACTAATATTGCACTTCATTATTTCTAGAAAATCACATTATTTTAAACTTTTATGATTATTTTTTTTATTTGCTTTTTTTAATCAGAAAAAATAATACGGAGAGGATATTCTACACGATGTTCTTTTTAAGGTACATTTATGTTTGCTCAGTATAATATTGTCCCATTTTCTTTATTCGCCAAAATTTCATTTAAGACATGAAATTAATTTAGTTCTAAATAAGTTTAGGCTGATAACTGATATCACCCAGTATTAGATTTTATTGAACTTGTAGCAGTAGCATAGTAGTTTACTTCTCAGAGACTGCGGTTCTGTGCCACTACAACCAAAATTTTTTCACATATCTATACATATAATAAAACTGTAACGATCGAATAAGCAAAACACGTACGTAATAAAAAAAAATGCTAAAAGTCAGTCAAGTCGAGTAAGGGGGATGTGAGAAGAGAAATAGAACAAATCCAGTTTTTTTTTTCAAATTTTTTGTTCTGTCTGTCGGTTTGTTTGTCTATTTGTACGGGCTAATCTCCGAAACTGTTACACCGATTTAAATGAAATTTTGCATGGTGGTACCTTATATCCCCGGTCAACATTTCAGATACTTTTCATTCCGGAAAATTAAAGAGTGCCCGTGGGATAGTTAAAAAAACTTTAGTAACTTATACAGTTTAGTACACAAAAACAGACTGGATTTTAATGAAACCTTACAATAATATAGTTCATATATATGAATAACAAATAGGCTACTTTTTATCCCGGAAAAATGAACGGTTCCCGTGGGATAGATTTGTTTTTGTTCGTCTAGGGTGAGCCGCCAGTTTTAAATATAAGTACATAAATGGTTCACAGAGTATGCAATAATTGTAAAGTGTAAATCCAATTGTTAGAACACCATAGATTTCATTCACTTATCTCCTAAAAGGTAAGAATAAATACAATCCGAAGTAATGCAGTGTAAAGGGTTCGTTTAGTACAAATATTTAGTTTGATTTGAAATCAATGGTTTATGTGAAAGCGTAAACTGCATTAGTTTTGTGTTAGCCTTTTACAGCTTAAAGAGTTTGTTATAGTATAAAAGAATATAAGGCATTACGTTGAAATGAATTTTATTCAAAGGTATTATTATAGAAAATTGTAGTTAGTGGTAGTGTAACAAAGTTTATTTTAATGCCTTTTTATATTTACACGATCTACCTCGGTGGTGTAGTGGCTAGCATGTACGGCTGCACACCCGGAGGTCCTGGGTTCGAGTCCCGGGTCGGGCCTAGTTTAGTTATTAAGTCTTTCTGTATAAGTAAGCCTCAGTAACAGCCCGGAGTTGGGAAGATGGCGGTGTTTCACCCCCGTGCCTCGGAGAGCACGTAAAGCCGTCGGTCCTGCGCCTTAACTCTCACTGGTCGTGTCGAGCAGTCGTCCCACCGGAACATGAGAGTGACAGGAATAGAGAGTGCACGTTGTGTCTGCGCGTACACGCGCTGCACTATAATATCTCCTGCGCAGTTGGCTAGTCTCAATGAGATTGGCCGCCGTCGCCGGAATCGGCTACGAGAGCATCACATCACATATTTACACGAATATTTCATATTAATAAAACTTTTCGGATTTTTTCGTTGATTTATTTTGATTTTTGGTTTCTGACGTTTCGAATGTTTTACAGCAATCATGGTCACGAGAGAGGCTAAGGTTTTAGACGTCTCTATACAAGAAGTTTATTTTTGTATAAAATAATAAGTAAAAATTAAATTAATACTACCAGTTTAACTGGTAAATATTACAGGACGTCGTTTGTTTATTCAGAAATCTGTACAATGTTGATATCACCTTTTATTTCTTTTTTCTTCTTTCTCTAGTAAAATTGTATAAAAGTCTGATGATTGCTCAATTGATTTCTCATTTTAAGTATTATGCCCCAAATAGTTTATGCTTTAAACAAATATTTGCCACAGAATTGAACTCGTTTTTCATTTCAAGTATATAAGACACTTACTTACCCGAGTACTTAAACACACATACTCGTATTTGCCACTGAATTAAACTACGAATTTTTCTATTTCCAAAGATAATAACTCGTAATGACGTTATCAAATATATAAAAACGGTAGTTTATACATAAATATATCGGTGGCCGTTCTAAAAGCACTCTAAATGCCATTCGATTTTTTTTACTCCAAATCTCTAAAAAATTAACATTACTAATAAGCCCATATTACGAACACGCCAGAAGTTAAAGAACTTCTAAAGTAGGAAATCAAATTTTATAGTTCATAGAACTTTGAAGCCTATTACAATATAGCTGGAGGTATTTTCGGTTGTGAATATGAGGGATCGAGTTATACTGGTAGCGCTTTTTCGAATCTATTTCTGTGCAGGCAGGTATTAATTTGAGTCCGTGTTATTATGATCCCTGTGATGGATTGGATGAGTAAGCGAATATTTGTTCTGTAGTTTTAAATGGAACAAATGTTTGATTATATGTAGTGCGGACAAATTGCTGCGATTAGAGGTTTTTTTTGGAAATTACAGTGTGTTATACATTTCTGACGTAAAATTATTGTTTATGTACATTGTTGATGCGAAAATAATAGCTAATTTCATAAATTGTAATACTTTCTTAGATTTACGCGAATATTTGACATTTTAAATAAAACTATCTTTTCGCATTATTTCGCGGATTTATTTTGATTTTTGGTTCCCGACGTTTCGAATGCTTTACAGCAATCGTGGTCACGGGAGAGACTGAGGTTATAGACGTCTCAAACGGTATCAAAGGTTTAAATGTTAAAGGTTGAAAAGATTTTATTTAAAAGTTATAAGTTGTATTTACAATAGTGTAGCACTAGGTCGTACCAGTGAGGCATCACTGAGCAGTGGGAGATCTAGTTGCATCTTTAGATCTAATTTACCTACGAATTAATCGCGTTTCTATATCTCCAAGAGTTTTGACTTTGTTACAAATGATAGAACAAGTAAGCTTAAATATTACATAATATCCAATAGGTAATAAAAGCTAAATATTTATAGTGCTTTATTATTACGAAGAACTTTTTTATAAAAAACCGTCATTATGTTTAATATTTTCTCATCATCATTTTTTAGGATACATACAATATTTTAAAACACATAATATATATACAATATTTTAAAACACAGATATTCTAAATCACATCATTGTATTCTAAGTTTTGTTATAAATATTTTTAATTTCTAAGAATCAAGTCGACGATGAACACCTACGTCACAGATCATATAATACTATACTAGTACCTAGCAGTGGCGAAGTGTCCAATGTCCATACAAGACGTCTTCGACCTTAAAATGTATTTTGTATTAATTTTACATAGGTATATTTAAATTTTTTAAACGTATAAATGTTCTTTTGGAAATATATACACACACACTCACACACACACACACACACACACATATATATATATATATATATATATATATATATATATATATATATATATATATATAAATTGTATATCAATGTTTTTTGTATTTTTTTTGGAATGGTTTACCTCTGTCAAAATTTTACTCTTCGCCACTTCTACCTACATTGTACAATGTTAGTCAGAATCCACACTCAGTCACACATGATGTATTATATAGTCCTTCTAATATATACTTACTTATGCATCTTTAAAAATATATAATTTTACTTTCAATTATGAAAAGTAAAAACTATTCTAGAGATATTTATCATATTGTTAATTTTTTCTAACATCATTTTGTAAAGTTGTCAGCAATTTGCGGCTTCCCTAATGACAGGCCTGTGAGTGGCCTCAAGTGTCTGCACGAGCCGATTTTTTCCCTTTGATTGTTATCATCATAATCTTTAACATTTCATCCAGTCATACTTTCGCTATTATTACCTTTTACACAGCGAATATATCGTCTAATTTGTATATCACTAAATTATAATTCTGTGGGTTACAAATTCATATTATTATAAGTTATCTTTACCATAGAAAATATACTAATATAAGGATTTATATAAAATAAATGTATATTTAAGAGTTATATTAGTAATTCATGGAGATATTAAAATACAATAAATCGAGTCAGACATTAGTGTATCCTGAGGACTCAAATGGAATTCGAACGAAGCCAAAGGTTCAAAAGAAAAGATTTGGTTGACTAAAACTTTAAATATCTTTAAATCTTACTTATAGGACAAACGAGCACTACCTACTATTATTAATTATACTACATATTCATTATTGACATTTATAACGATTAAGTTTCTTACAACTAAAATTACTAAAAAAGTAACTATTATAATATAATCCATATCCATACTAAAATCATAAATGTGAAAGTGTGTTTGTTTGTTTGTCCATATTTTACGTCGCAATAGAGTGACGAATTGGCGTGATTTTTGTATATAGATAGTGACTGGAGAGTGACATAGGCTATTTTTACCGCGGGAGATTAACTCATACCCACGGGAAAACACGTTATGATACAACCAAAACAATATTTATGATCAGAATTACTTGAAACTTCGATACAATTAAATACGTGTTTTGGCATTTTTTGTAGTTTTAGCGCGAGCGAAGCCTCGGGTTCTGCTAGTAGAGTACTTATACGCTTAATCTACGCTTTTGACAATATTCGACAGTAGAAAGTCATGAGTTGTTATTATAATGAAAATTTATAAATAATATAATTATTACTGCATTTTTAACTATATCATAACGTAATTTCCTTTATAAAATATGTGGATAGATGTGAAGCGGACGGACGTTGTCCTGTCTACACGTCTTTAATTTGAAAATTTCAAACTTTTTTTAATAATTTTTTGATGAAAATTATTATTCAAATTGTGAATCTAAACCATTCCCAGATCCCCTTGAACACACACAAAAAATTTCATCAAAATCGGTCCAGTCGTTTGAGAGAAGTTCAGTGACATACACACTCACAGAAAAATTATATATATAAAGATATATTATTTATATACGCTTGTATGTATGTTATTATGTAGCGTAATAACTTAGAAGATTGAATTCGCTCCCTCAGTTTAGTTATGACTATCGAGTGTAGTTGGGAGGCTGGGCGTATCTGCAGCAAGTGTTAGTTTCTCAAGGGAGCACAAAGTGAGTTAGCGCTGAATGGCGCTACGTATTGCCGCGGTCAGCGCTCCGCCACTTGTTCTGTCTTATGATTGCTTGCTGGACGTTGGGTAGTATAGGGAGAAATGTTAGATGAAACTTTGATATTTACTTGAAAATATTATATTTATATTACATTTATATAATAATTTATATTTTGTAGATATAGTGCTTTTATAAATCTTATCAACTTCTTATTCTTAATTGATCCCATTTTTGCATCCCACAGATGAACTTGCATCACGTTCATTTCTCCTTGGTTCGTTTTTTCTCTCATCTGCAAAGGTATCTATGAGAGACGATAGACACCATCAGGTGGATCGTTTGCTCGTTTGACCCTTTTACTATAAAAAAATCGACCTGTGAGAGATCATGCGCAGAACAGTTTCGACTCCAACTGAACCATCAACAGGCTGTTACTGATAATTTTTCGAGAGAAAATCCCAATAACTATACTCGGAACGACCCGGACTCAAACTCAGGATCTCTGATTTAGTAGTCGTATAAGTAAGATACTAGACTAAAGAGGTAGTCTATATATATCACTCATACACAACACTACATATTGTTAACTTCATGTTTCTTCAGAAGTAACCAAAGAGGTTTATTTCATTAGAATAAAACACACTTGAATTATATAGATGTTGTGTATAAGTATTAGTTACATATTAATTTAATGTAAAATAAAAATAATTTGCTAGAATAATTTTAATATTCTTAAGTACTAATATTACGAATTTACAAGAATGCTTATTGGATTTTCATTATTCCACATTGCAATGTAGTAAAAAACAAAAATATTTTTACATAAATATTATTTTCCCACGTCTACGCTACGTGTTAAATAGTTTTTTTAAGTTTGATTAACATATATGTTAGTTTTTAAGGTATATATGTTATGGGCCTCTGTTTACATATTTAAGATCTTTTTGTAAATATTGCCTGAAATAAATGATTAAATAAAAAATAAAAAATATTTATGCCCTTGAAACTGACATACTTACCTATACTACTGTTTTCAGTTTTTCATTCACTTTGTAACTAGTAACTACTATGATATAAGAAATATGAATGATGTAAAGTTTTCGCCAGCTCTATGTCGACGTCCACAAGTCCGCTGTGGCCGGCAACTGTGCAGTAACTCGATTGCCCCGCGATGGGTCCGAGCGCTGTAGAGACGAACACCTTGGTAAATGACCTCTTGTTCATAATTTATCATTTACTTTATATGTAATCACGGCTCTCGTTTGTTATTAATAAATAAAATCATTATTTACACGTTATAGGTACTTGGAAAATCGAAAAATTAAAGTTTTTTTTGCTAGTTTCTTTAATATTTTTCACAGTAAGTGTAAAATATAAATATAGGTTTACAGTACCTATAAGATTAAATGATATGACTTTTTATATTAAAGGGGTTTTATTATTAGAATATTTTTAACGATGATTTTGCCAGTTTTGCCACCACACTGTAATAAAAAAAGTTCGTTCGCCCACAAGAAGATACAAAAGCTTTAATAAAAAATGAGAAAAAAATGAGCTATAAACTGACAGATTTTGATAATAATGAAAAGAACCGAAGTATGTACGTAGTGATGTATGACTTAAAAAAAAACTAGTAAATTATATATTATACTCGTATAATTATTACGAGTCATAACTTAGTAATATTCTATTGGTAACATCGTAAATATCGATAATGAAAATCGTAATTCATTTAATTATGCTATACAAATAATAATTTAAATGGAAGTTTTATATTAATTCAACATTATTTATTATTTTCTCATTACGCCGTCCCTCAGAGACGTCTAGTTTTTCAATTTCCTCTCACATTTAACCCTTATTATAAGGTTCATGATAATATTTTTCCGAGCAATTACTCAAACTCTTTGAGGCGGTAATCATCGTTTAATGGGCCCGCAACAATCACGGCGGGGGGAGGTGCGGGGGGGAGGGAGTTAACTGGAGATAGAGGGGTGAGAGGGAGGGGGGTGTAGATAAGGGGGTACATTTGAACCTTCACGTGGAAAGGATAATTCTGCGATCAAAGCCTGACAACCACAGGTGGAGTAGAGTGGCCATGATGTGGAGATGAGCTCATTGTGTCTCTTATTCATTTATTTATAATATTTTGTATGAAAATTTATTTATAATCTGTTTTCATAATATGTGGTTTGTTAATTACCTACATATATTTGCACTAATTTGTAGTTACGTATATTATAATTAATTCTGCCATATTATAGTCTATTGGCGTTTTCCTGCGGCTTCGCCCGCGTAGTTTAATTATGTATTACTACTATATGTAGCCTATATGTTACTTTGATGTCTAAACTATATATATTAACTAGTGGACCCGACAGACAGACAGTTGTCCTGTCTACACGTCTTTAATTTGAAAATTTCAAACTTTTTTTAATATTTTTTTTTATGAAAATTATTATTCAAATTGTGAATCTAAACCATTCTCAGATGCCCTTGAACACACACAAAAAATTTATCAAAATCGGTCCAGTCGTTTGAGAGAAGTTCAGTGACATACACACTCACAGAAGAATTATATATATAAAGTTTTTTTGATGAAAATTATTATTCAAATTGTGAATCTAAACCATTCCCAGATCCCCTTGAACACACACAAAAAATTTATCAAAATCGGTCCAGTCGTTTGAGAGAAGTTCAGTGACATACACACTCACAGAAGAATTATATATATATATATAAAAATTTTTTGATGAAAATTATTATTCAAATTGTGAATCTAAA